TTTTCAAAGATAGACTTGAGATCTGGCTACCATCAGCTGAGGATTAGGGCATCCGATGTCCCTAAGACAGCATTCCGCACTCGGTACGGACATTATGAGTTCCTGGTCATGTCGTTTGGGTTGACCAATGCCCCAGCAACATTCATGGAGTTGATGAACCGAGTGTTCAGGCCATATTTGGACATGTTCGTGATAGTCTTTATTGATGATATTTTGGTGTACTCCCGCAGCCAGGAGGAGCACGAGCAGCACCTCAGAGTGGTTCTTCGGACTCTGAAGGATAGTCAGTTATATGCTAAGTTCTCGAAGTGCGAGTTCTGGTTGAGTTCGGTTGCATTCCTGGGTCATGTTGTATCAGCAGAGGGTATTCAGGTGGACCCGAAGAAGATTGAGGCAGTCAAGAATTGGCCTCGACCAGCATCAGCTACTGAAATTCGGAGTTTCTTGGGGTTAGCAGGTTACTATCGTCGGTTCGTGGAGGGGTTTTCATCTATTGCAGCCCCGATGACCAGATTGACCCAGAAGGGTGCCCAGTTCAGATGGTCGGATGAGTGTGAGGCGAGCTTTCAGAAGCTCAAGACAGCTCTGACTACGGCACCGATATTGGTTTTGCCCACAGGCTCAGGACCTTATACAGTTTATTGTGATGCTTCCCGTATTGGGCTTGGCGCGGTATTGATGCAGGATGGCAGGGTCATTGCTTATGCTTCGAGGCAGTTGAAGATCCACGAGAAGAATTACCCGGTTCATGATCTCGAGTTGGCAGCCATTGTTCATGCTTTGAAGATTTGGAGGCATTACCTATATGGTGTGACGTGTGAGGTGTACACGGATCACAAGAGTCTGCAATACTTGTTCAAGCAAAAGGAGTTGAACTTGAGGCACCGGAGGTGGTTGGAGCTATTGAAGGACTATGATGTTACTATTTTGTACCACCCGGGGAGAGCCAATGTGGTGGCCGATGCATTGAGTAGGAAGTCCGCCAGCATGGGTAGTCTTGCTTATGTTCCGGTCAGCCAGAGACCGCTTGCTTTGGATATTCAGGCCCTGGCCAATCGATTTGTGAGGTTGGACATTTCTGAGCCTAGCAGAGTGTTAGCTTGTACGGTCGCTCGTTCTTCATTATTGGAGCATATCCGTGACCGGCAGTTTGATGATCCCCATTTGTGTGTCCTGAGAGACACGGTGCAGGCGTGGAGGTGCCACGAAGGTGACCTTAGATGATGATGGTGTTTTGAGGTTGCAGGGGCGAGTTTGTGTGCCCAATGTCGATGGGATTCGAGAGTTGATCTTAGCGGAGGCCCATAGTTCTCGGTATTCTATTCACCCGGGCACCGCGAAGATGTATCAAGACTTGAGGCAGTTTTATTGGTGGCGTAGGATGAAGAAGGATATTGTTGCATATGTGGCTCGATGTTTGAACTGTCAGCAGGTTAAGTATGAGCATCAGAGGCCTGGTGGTTTGTTTTAGAGGATTGAGCTTCCCGAGTGGAACTGGGAGAGGATTACCATGGATTTCGTTACTGGACTTCCGATGACTCGGAAGAAGTTTGATGCTATTTGGGTCATTGTTGATAGGCTGACCAAGTCAGCGCATTTTATTCCTGTTGCAGCCACTTATTCATCGGAGAGGTTAGCTGAGATCTACATCCGAGAGATTGTTCGCCTTCATGGGGTGCCGGTATCTATTATTTCGGATCGGGGTACGCAGTTTACCTCGCGCTTCTGGAGAGCAGTTCAGCAGGAGTTGGGCACCCAGGTTCAGTTGAGCATAGCGTTCCATCCTCAGACGAACGGCCAGTCCGAGAGGACTATTCAGATATTGGAGGATATGCT